TTTCACTGATATAATGACAGTCCAGGGGCCTAACACATACTCTAGATGGCGAGACACGCTACACTCAGATATTTGATCCATGCCAGTCAGGCATGGGAGGGTATGTCGGCGTGCAGTTCATAGCTCTGAAACGGACGATTTCATCAAAAGCCACACCTAACCGTCTAACTTTGCTCTAGTCTCTGTCCCATAAATTCCAGCTTGCCATTAACAATCTATGGCGCGTTCGCGCTCGTCCCGATGCAGACGGCCTCGATCCCGGACATTGCCCTGCAGATCCCCGACTTTGACGGCTCGGTTAACCTCCAGATCTTTGCCAACTCGACACAGTCTGAGATTGGCTGTTTTCAGGCGGCCATGACGAACGGCAACTCTATTGGCATACCACAAATCCTGGCACCAACGATTGCCTTTTTCGTCGCCATCGCCATGATTTGCTCTTTTGTAACGGCAGCGTACGGCATTTCCGTACCCTTGATGCGTGCTCACTATGCGCATTCCCTTTCGGTCGTTCTTTTCTTCGAAACATTGCAAACATTCTTTCTGACGGGCGCACTCTCGCTGCACTGGCCGAGTGTGCTAGTGGCATGGTGGAGCAACTTCGCCTGGTCGGCCGGCATCATACGCATTCAACCGTTGGTCACACAAATTGTTCGCTTCACGGCTGCCGCAGGAAACGCCAGCCAGTTGACTGGGGACAGCCCAATGTTTGTCAAGGGTGGAACTGCGCAGCTGGCAGCCAAGATCTATAGTTCGGACAGCTCAAACAACGGACCGGTCCTGGAGGAGGTGGTTTCTCTCGTTAAGCGCAAGGTCTACAACAGCAGCGACCCGTACGACTACACTTGGGGCGGCGACCCTGTTCTTCCGGGCGTGCCACTGCCTGGAACGTGGCAAAGTCTCTCCGGGACTCTCAGTAACCTCAACATCCCATGCGCATCCGCGTTTACCCTCTGTTTGTTTTGGACGGCAATCGCTGCGGTGGCCTTTCCACTCGGCCTTATTGGCATTAAGGGCCTGTTTGACTTGTTTTCCAGGCTTGGATGGTTACGGGAAGACTGCATGGCCTACTTTCGCACACACTCGCTACAATATGCTCGACAGGGGGTGTTTCGAGTGCTGTTGATTGCATTGCCCCCGTTGCTGACACTGGCCGTCTTCCAATTCACAACACACAGCTCGCCTGGTTCCACGGCATTGGCAGCGATCGTGCTGGCCATCCTCGTTGCCGGCGCAGCATACATGTGTACGGATGCCGTAAGAAGGAGAAACAGGTACCGGCCCCGGCAAGACTCTTTCTCGGCGACGCAGTCGTCCTCTCCAAAAAGCCCATCATTCACAAAACGGAGGACGAACCGCGGAAAACGACGCATCTCATACCTGGAGGACGACGAGGACTTCGAGCCAAGGCAGCGCCCTGGCGTCCACCAAGACGAAAAGTACATCAAGCGGTATGGCTGGCTTTCGGCACGCTACAAGGCAAGCTGCTACTGGTTCTTTGCTGTGCACCTGGGAACGCAGTTTGCTCGGGCCTGTATTCTGGGAGGCGGTGCGGACAATGTGAGCGTCGCTGATGCCACCAACAGCACGCTCACGGGAATCGCGGCACCGACGGCCCAGCTGGTGGTTCTGCTTCTCTTTGAGATCGCCGTGCTGGCTACCTATGCGTATTGGCGGCCGATCGAGAGCAGCCGTAATTTGGCGCTGGGCATCTGGGTCTTGGGCGTGGGACGTATTCTCGTGGCGGCCCTCTGCATCGGGCTGCTACCGCAGGTCGGGATCAGCCGCATCGGTGCGACAGTCATTGGCTTCGCTATTGTTGTCGTCCAGGTGCTGATGCTGTCTGCGGTGCTGGTACTGGTGGCCATCAGTGCGGTGTCGACGTGGCTGTCGTTGACGCGCAACCAAGACAACTTTTACTCGGAAATGTTCTTTTCCGTCCGCAAACGGTACCTCGAGACGCTGCTCGCCAGCGCCACCGGCGCACCGGCGCCCCTGACACGGAGGCAAGAACGGAAGCAGGCCAAGGCACGCCAGCGCGCCGACCGCGAGGCCGAACGGTTGGCTGCGTCGTTGCCGCCACCGGCGCCGTCCTTTAGCGTGTACGACGTGCGGCGCGCACCCAAGATTGAAGACGTGCACTATGCCGAGTCCGACGAAAGCGAAGTCGAAGAGTTTGGGGTGCACGACGTGGTGTTCCGACGGACCATGGCCATGGGGCTCTCTGGGCCGAGCGGGAGCGGGAGCGGGAGAAGCAGCAGGGGCGGGAGCAGTGACACGACGCGGCCGGCGACGGAGATCGATGAGGCCACGGACGAGGATACACTGGGTGCCTTGGGCGAGCTTGGGACGCAAAGCATGACGGCACGGAAACGGAGGGAGACAGGAAGCGCAGCCAGTCTCGTGGGCGCACAAATCTACGACCCGGCGCGCATTCTTGCCCGGCTCAACCGCAGCCGGACGAGCAGTGCCGCATCGTTGCAGTCGGTGCCATCGGCCCACGACAGCATACGCCGTGTATCGGAGATGACGGCGGTGTCGGGCCCCCTGCCGGGTCCACCTCAGATTGGCGTTCTAGCCGGAAGACGGTCAGCAAGCCCGTTTGGCGGTGGCCGGGCGAGTCCTTATGACATGCGGTCGTCGTCCGCTACACCTGTTTCCCGTGGTGACGTGTCCACGACGCCCACCAGTTTAGCTGGGCCCATCGCTCGGCGCATGACGCCGACAAAGGAGACACTGCAGCGATACTCGACGGAGAGGCAGCCACTGCAGTCGCTGCGATCGACGCCGGTGCCCCATCCGGTACCCGAATAAATCACCAGAAGCGGAGGCGGGAGACCGAAGCGAGGAGACAGAGCGCGACCTTTGGAGAAATGAGGGAGAGACAGTCATCTGGGGCTTGTTAATAGAACGGTCATATGGCGGCTTGCATGTCGGAAGCCAGGTGGACCTGCATATATATCCACGGTGTCATTGGGAAATAGTAATTTGTAGTAATAGGGGCCAAATCATGTTCAAGTCGCGGATTTGTGGACGTCCGCATTTTCTTAGCTCTCTCTTTGGTGAGACCTTCCACGTCGACCTGTAAGTCGTAATGCTGCATATTAACGGACTTGACCTTGCCCCAGTGGATTGTGGGGTCTCCACCCCGCTAACATTGCTGAACTACCAGGCAGCGGGGTTGGCGGACATGGGGTGGGATGAAATGTGCCGATGGCACTGCAATGCGCTTAAGTGCTGCAACACGCGCGGAGTATCTTAACACCAACAGCTTCCGCCCCCAATGCTCGAATCGGGCCCAGCCCACACTGGTCGGGCCCTTGTTCCCGACGAAAATACACACAAAGTGAACTATCGATTGCTTGGAGCCTTGTGACTAGCGGATGTGTCATGCTATGGTCATCTATGGAGCACCCACGGTTGGCTGCAAGGTGTAAGGGACGTGAACTGATTGTGTACGACGGACGATGGGCCGGTGAAGGATGCCGGCGGGATAGAGGAGGTGGTCGACGACTGTTTCTTTGTTTTGTTTTTTGAAACTGAAATTCACTTTTCGCTGCATTCCTTTTCTTTTCCTCCTTTGTTCCTTCCGTTCTATATTACTTTAACGCCCGTCTTTGCGCCAATTCCGTACCTGCCTCTTTCGTCGCATCGGCACCGTAGCACTATCGCCAACGTCATCTCAATCACAGTTTCTCTTCAACAACACTACCACAACCGCACTGCTCTACCACACCGCTCCCACACCACCACAATGGCCGCCTCCGACAAGGAAAACAGCCCGCCGGTGCTGCTCGATCTCACAATCGACAACATCACGCCCAACACCATCCGCATCAACGACCAGTCCCCCGACGCCCGGCTGCGCTACCTCATGGCCCGCCTCGTCACCCATCTCCACGACTTTGCCCGCGAAACCCGCCTCAGCACCGACGAGTGGATGGCCGCCATAACCTTTTTGGTGCAGACGGGCCAGATCTGCAGCGACGTGCGCAACGAGTTCATTCTGTTGAGCGACATTCTGGGCCTGTCGCTGCTCGTGGACAGCATCAACCACCCGAAGCCGACCGGGTCCACCGAGGGCTCGGTGCTGGGGCCCTTCCACACGCACGATGCGCCGACGCTGGCCAACGGCGCGTCCATGACGTCGGATCCGGACGGCGAGCCGATGCTGGCGCTGTGCCGGGTTGTGGACCCGGACGGCAAGCCCGTGGCGGGCGTCAAAGTGGACATTTGGGAGACGGACAGCTCGGGCCACTACGACGTGCAGCACGCGGACCGCGACGCGCCCTCGGAGCGGTGCGTGATGGTGTCGGACGAGGACGGCCGGTTCTGGTTCCAGGGCATCAAGCCGGTGCCGTACCCGATCCCGCACGACGGCCCAGTGGGCAAGCTGTTGACGCGGCTGGGACGGCACTGCTGGCGCCCAGCCCATGTGCACTTTATGTTTGAGAAGGAGGGATGGGACCATCTCATTACGTGAGTTCTCTTGACCTGGATGGATGCCCGTGTCCACTTTCCGGTTTTCCTTTGTACCTCACGTCTTCCTCTCTTCAGCGTTGCCCTTTCCCCGCACTACCCCAAATCCACCAGAGTTCCCTCTCCCACACCCGCTAACCGATCCGATCCGATAGCGCACTGTACCTGCGCGGCGATCCGTACGAGACATCCGACGCTGTCTTTGGCGTCAAGAAGAGCCTGGTCGTCGACCTGGGCCGCACCGACGCCGCCGTGTCCGCGAAATACAATGTGCCCGAGGGCACCCTGCTGCTGGAGCAGGAGTTTGTGCTCGTCACCAAGGACGAGACGGAGCGGCTGCGTGACCAGAACGCCGTCGAGGCGCTCAAGACGCTGGGGCTGCACATGAAGCTGGTCGACCACCTGCCCGTGCCGGATCTCGACTAGGCGTGTGTGGATGCGGTGCGCTGCCCTCCTTGTATATAGCCGTGTCAGATGAAAAAGATGAAACGAAACAATTGCTTCCCTCGTCGGAACGTGTCTCAATGCGTGTTCTTCTTGCCGTCGGCCGCCGCCAGCTTGGCCACGTTGTCGGCAAATCCGTGTGCGCCGCCGTGGCTGGCAATGACGTCCCAGGCGTGTTCCACTGTGAAGACAGCATCAACGTTTCGTCGCCTCCCTACCAGGCCCACGTTCCGCGTGCTTGGGATCCGCAGCATCTCAAACTCCACCACCCACCCGCAGTCCTCGGCCACGCCCGCCACCCACTCGACAAACGACGCGTACGTCGACGACGAGGCCAGCGTGACCGACACGGATGCTGTCGCCTGTCTGGCGGCCGACGACGGTGGGGGCGCCCGAAACCGCGCGCCTGTAAAGTTGTGGCTGCAGCAGGGGATGGCAAGGAACGCGCAGCCGGACAAGGCCGCCAGCAGTGGCGTCCAGACCGTCAACTCGTCCGCGTGGTTGGCAATGAGGAACGTGCCAGGTGGGAATGTGCCGTCGTGGGTGCTCGATGTGCGCCCGGTGTCGGTCTCGGTCTCGTTCTTGTCGTTGCCTTTGTCTGTCAGAAATGACGGCAGAAGCAGGCTCTCTCGTAGCGACACTGCCGCGCCCGCCGGGCCCGCCCCGTCTCCATTCTCATAGTGCTCGTATTGCTGCCATGACCGCCGCTTGCGCGCATCGAACCCCCAGCCCCGGTAGCCCTCTTCATTGAGAATGTGCACCAGCAAGCCGTTGCCGCAGCCCACGTCCACAAAGCCGGGGAATTGTGCGGGCACACCCTCCTCGCCCTCGACCCCGTACATGTCCCGCCACAGCTCCATCAGGAATGCCGCAATCGACAGGTCCTCAAACACGTGCTTGGCCGGGTCCGTCGTCTCCTGCCACGTCGCCACCAGCCGCCGCGCGTGCTTTTCTTTGAGGCGCGTGTACCGGTCCTGCACCCGCGCTTGCGGCACCAGCTGGTCGTGGTGCACGCGCTTCACGTAGCCCGCGCGCTTGCCCTCGCCGTGCTTGCACACGGTGTTGACGAGGCTGAGCGCGACGCGGGCCAGGATGGGCCGGCTCAGTTTGCTTGCCGCATCGTCGGGCGGCGTGGCCAGCGTCTCTGGAAACAAGGAAAAGTGCAGGGACACGGTCCCGCGTCCGTCCCGCGGCCGCCACGCGTGCAGGAACCCGACGCCCTGGACTTTGGGGTGGTAAAAGGGCACGTGGGCCGGGTCGGAGACGTGCGGGAGGTAGACCACCAGGGAGCGTTCCTCAGCGTCGTCGTCCTCGTCCTCATGTTCGTCGTCATGCTCATGGTCGTCGTTGCCCTCCTCGCCCCTGTAAAAGAGGCACGTCTGCAGCATCGGCTTGTCGCGCATCGTGTTGCGCGGAATCAGCCGCCGCACAATCGTCCGGTCGTCGGCGCGCACAAGCGACGCAAAACAAGGAAACGGCGTCACGGCCCCCTCCGCCGCCGCAGCCGCCTCGGTGGTCTCGGCCAGAATGTCCGCACGGAACAGCCACGACGACAGCACATTCGGGTTGCGCACCAAGTTCTGCATCACGGCGTCGAACTCGCTGGGTCCAAACGTGCACGGCCGGTGCCACATGGGCGTCCACGTCCAGGGCCCGCCACCCTCGACACCATCGCCCGACGTCGGCGTCTGGATCAAGACCGGATCCGCATCGTAGGCATATTCTTCTGGGCCAGGCAGGGGCGGCGGTGTCGCAGCGGCCATGCTTGGGGGGAAAGCTGTGTTGGGGGACACGAGGAGGTAACGGTCATCAAGGAAAGCATTTACGTAGAAGAATTAGTGGGATGCAATGCACGGCAGAAAAGCGCTTAAAGTTAGGCGGTGAGTGCGACTGACAGCGCGTTTGTTAGGCGCGGCTGCGAACTGCTTAGCGCTGCCTCGATACTCGACTACAACCTCGACCAAGTTCGCGAAACCCCGAGTCAAACGACAACCAGAATTCGAGCATATAAATAATATAAATAATATAAATATTGAACTACTAACAAGCTATCTGACGAAGTGAAAAAGGCGAAACGTCGCCTACGATTCGAACAACCGCACAATCCGTCACTCGGTTGTCGACCATCTGCACAAGTCATGTAACGTCGCCCACCTGAACTCTTCTACGCACGGAAAGCTCGAGGAGAAGCCTTGGGCGTCGGCACTGCAGGAGGTGCCGCGGGCTTGGAGGTCGGCACAGGCTCAGAAGATTTTGCAGGAGGGGACGGAGCCGGAGCCGGCGACGGCTTGCTGGTGGGCACAGGCTCGGGGGACTTTGCAGGCGGGGACGGGGTCGGAGCCGGCGACGGCTTGCTCGTAGGCACAGGTTCAGGCGACTTTGCAGGAGGGGATGGGGCCGGAGCCGACTTGCTGGTAGGCACAGGCTCAGGCGACTTCGCGGGAGGTGACGGGGCCGGAGCCGACTTGCTGGTAGGCACAGGCTCAGGCGACTTCGCGGGAGGGGCCGGGGCCGGAGCCGACTTGCTGGTAGGCACGGGCTCAGGAGACTTTGCAGGTGGGGACTGGGGCCGGAGCTGACTTGCTGGTAGGCACGGGCTCAGGAGACTTTGCGGGAGGGGCCGGGGCCGGTTCCTTGGATGTCGGGCCAGGGGCCGGCGGAGCCTTCGCCGATGCTGTATAGTAGTGTGAGCCAAGTACTGCATTTCTTGATTTTGTGTTCAGTTTAGCTTTTTCAAAAGTCAGGCAGTTCGTATACTCACAAGAGGTCACAGCCTTCGAGGACGACTCTGGAGGAGCAGCAGGACCATTGTCAACGATCGGAGCGGCCACGGCGAGGCCGGCAAAGAAGAGGATGTGCCACTTCATCGTGCTTTATTTTCAAGTATCAAAGGATGATGTTGGAAAGAGGGTTTTGTTTGATTGTCGATGAAAGGATGACACTTGAATCTGTGTGATGAGTCTGTCTTCTCTTTATACTTGATATTTCTGTGGCCCCATCATACAAAGATAAAAGTCCGGGCTTTCTTGGATTCTTTCTTTTCGAGTAACGTCACGATGCTGTAATTTCTTTTTAATTTAGCACATATTTCGTTCTATTTCACCTTTCGTTTTTCCTCTTTTAAAATGACCTCATTCACCCGAATCAGATTGCAGTTATAGTGTGGTGAAAGAGGAGAAGCACATGTCCCATGATGCTTCTCTGTGCTTCACAGGTATGCCATTTTCCCAGGATCGCAACATTTTACTTTCGATCATACAATTACACCGGGTATTCAAGACAATTTTGAGTCTCTTGCTCCTCCTGTTCGAAATCGTTCCCGGATATTGCGTATTTCACATATAGACCGGACAGGCGAATAGCTTCGGGGTTGTACTCGAGAGGACCGTCAGGATCAGGAGGAGCGACTAAACTAGAAGCTTGTGTACTGATAGATGGAAAGAGGGGCACACAATAATGAGTAAATAGAATACGTGAGAAACGATGTCAATAAGCAGACCACACGGACCGCTGTCAAGTGCTCCGGGTCGAAGCAAACGGACGAGGGACGTGTCACGATGTAACCATCTTTGGAACGTCACTTTCACCGTATACAGTACAGGTCGTCTCAAGGGAATCCTAGAGGGATAGAGCAAATACAAGTCACTCTGTATACGCTAGAACTAGAAAATCTATGGATCAAGGTCGATAATAATTCGTTGAGATGGTACGATATGTCACCTCTTCGATCTGGCTATTTTCCATATTGTCATATCTACATCCACGAATCGCGTCGTTGGCAGAATAACGCGTCAAGCACACTCTGAATAAAGCAATTACCAAGGAAACATGAAAAAGATAAAGTCCACTATGCAGATTTTTAAAAAGACATTTTCCAAGCCATGTACATAGTTTTGTGAACGCCAAGACGAACTCCTGGATTATGCAATCCAGGTACACTCCCAACCCAGGTCGCCGTTACTGCCAAGTCGTTGCCCTATGTTCGAGAGAGACACGACATCTAGCAAGCGGCAGCTACCAGAAGGGATCAAGTGAGGTCGCAGTTAAGCTTTTTTTCACTTTCCGGGTCGATCGGGCCCTTTGGGAAAATCGGGGGATGCGATATTGTTTTGTTAGTGAAGCGGCACTTGTGTGGAAAATGTTCAATTTCATTGCTCAATCCCCCTCCTTGGCAAAATGGACATAAACAACGCACATATATATGTGTGTATATATATATTGAGTCTCTGGTGGGAGGCGGAGATGGGATGAACTGCTTGAGATCGACTCAGTTGGCGCTTCGCGCATCCTTTCGGGACATATTTATTATTGGTTTATCCATCGTCATTTGAAGGGGACATAACGCCTTCCATGAACTATCGAATAACCGCCAGGAGCAGATTCGGTGATGGCAACCAACTGAAAAGGAATCTCAAAGTGAAGCAGACGGATTACCCGGAAATGTAGTGCAAGCCAGTCATCTCGATGCTGACCTTCTGCTCCCACATAACGACCTATCTGTCACGCCCTGAAGTAATAAATGTGTGTCAGAAGTTGCTTACAAGTGGCTTTTTACAAACAATACGGAAGATCTAGGGATATCAAATAAATTCAGATTGCATGCACCGCGGAGAAATACATATCAGAGCATCCTAGAGAAGTAAATGGCACATTTGAATACAAAGTTTGCTAAGATGCAGTCAATATACAATTTTCCATGCAGATTAAGGAACCATATTAGCCGACCTCTCCCGTTTGCCCAGACTCTGCTGTCATGCATCTTTAAGCTTCGTTCATTCATTCCTAGATACATCTTACTTTGCATTTACAACTACATGTTTTGTTTCCAGCGTTCTCCCGTCGCCCTCAAACGACTAAAAAATGCACACGGCGTTGGGCGGACTTGCCACGCCACCCGGCAGGTTGAGCGGCGCGCTCGTAAAGAAAAAGGACCACCGCTTCTGCCGCTCACACTCGGCCGCCAGCGCCTCCACGTCAAACATTTCGCCTATGGGCATGCCCCAGTAGCTCAGCAGGAAATCGTGCAGACGCCAGTTGTCGTCCATGGGCACTACCTCGAAGCCGTTGGAGTCGCCGCCGACGGCCGCAAAGTGGTGGTTCCAGAGCCACTCGAGCGTCGCCTCGCAGCCCTGGACGCCGATCCAGGCATAGGCGTTGGCGACAAACTTGTTGTGGTCCTCCTCACTGTGCTCGTCGTACCACTTGGTCCAGCCCGTGCGCACCAGCAGGATGTCGCCGGCCCGGAAGACAAGGTTGGCGTCCTTGGCCATATCGTCGAGCTGGGCGACGGTAATGGCGTGGCCCGACATGGGGCTGTACGCAATGCCCTTGCGAGCGGCGTAGGCGACGTAGTCGAGGAGGACGCCGCGGCCGACAATGCCGCCGCGCTTGGTCCAGTCTGTGTGGTTAGCGGTGCGAACCAACAGTGACGTATAGCATTTGCAGACGCACTCTCAATGCCCAGCTTGCCGCTCGACAGCAGGTCGTCGTGGTGGATGCCGTTGTAATAGTAGCCAGCCTTGGAATCGCCCCAGTGGCCTACTCGGTCAGCCAAAAGCCAGAATGCCAAAACAGCACAAAGGAGTGAAGCATCACCCACGAAGTCCATCCCATTGGCTGCCGACTTGGGTGTTGAAGCTGATCTCGTCGTCGTAGCAGTAAAACGGGTAGCTGGGCTTGGTACGCCAGTCAACAATCTCGTGCTTGAGCGTGTGCCGCCCAAAGGCCTCCTCGCTGAGCCGGTCCAGGCCCCAGTTGAGCGCCACGCTGCGGCCCGTCTGGATCTCGTCACGCGCCTGGCGCACCACGTCCGGCGTCAGCAGGTTCAGCGTGCCGAGCTCGTCTTTGACACCGTCCTTGTCAAAGAGGCCCCAGGCGCAGCCGTGACTGACACCGTGTTAGCCGATGTTGTGCGTTTTCCGCTCCTGTCGTGCCTCTCAGCACCGTCTCACTCACGGCTTGCCCTCCACCTTGGGCATGTCCTTCCAGTTTGGCAGCTTCGCGGCATCCATGTTGCGACGTGCGAGGTATCAAGATTGTCGAGAGTGTCTAGAAAGCGTAATATGGAAAGGAAGGTTCTGAGTTTCGAGCTTTGTTGTATTAATCATGGAAAAGCAAGTCTCATGCAAAATGTGTCTGCCCAAACAAAACAAATAAGGGCTGTATTCGGTGGTGATGTCTGTATAAGAATGCTTCTTTGTTAACAATCGTTTTACTCAAAAAGGAAACAATGTCGTTTCCTGCCCCTACGAAGACTGTTTCTCCTCTGCGATGCATTGTCAGGATGCAATCTTCCCCTTATCCTGCGGGGAAGCCCAGTCGCCAAAGAAAGGAGCTCCCATGACGACGGCCCTTTGAAGTCTACGGAAACAGCTGGCATGGGCACGACCTGGAAAGCTTCAATTGACGGGTGACGAATTCCGGGGTCCGGTTCGTTTGGTGTAGTTATTCTTGTTGGCGTTTTTGGCGGTGTTCTCTGGCGTCGTCTAGAATTGGAGACTACCCCGGAATTGGCTCGTTATGTTAGAGACGAAGGCCGGCCCGCCGCTTGTCACTAGGCGAGTCAGCGCCTCCAAGGCCCAAGTTCCCCCTCGATGGTCCCGTCCTCACCCAGGGGAGAAAACAACGGTCCGAGACTACTGGATGCTCGGCGTGTCGCAATCGTCGCACGGGCTTCCTTGTGTTGGTTTTCTGGGGTATTTTTGTGGGCCGCGTTGACATGCCATATCAGATCGCGTACTGTACAGCTGGTCAGCATCCATCAGTCTCACGCTTGGCAAACAGTGTCTGAGACGTCAGTACGACGTACTTCAATTGTAAGTCAACGGTGGTTAGTAGTTGGGAGTTCAGTTATTCAATTATCACAGTAGGTCACCCGTCTACAATGTTGAAATTTGGTTTGGGTGTTGGCGAGTTTTATATAAAATAAGAGTAATAGAAAATGAAGATGCAAGTGCATGTAACAAAAAATGTAGTCAACCTCATCCTCTGTGATCCTCCACTCAACTCGAATGGAACCGCACGTGTACGGAAATCCCCAACGAGCAATCAACCATCTTCCATCAACCTTTCCTCGCATAATCACAAATATCAAAAGCACAGATTATAAAAAATGATTCATCCTCTTGGTCCCAGCTGTTCACCAAAGAGGTCCCACAGTCTGAGATTATTTCGAAACGGCAAACCCGCACAATTCTTCCAGGCGCCGGGGGACAAGCCCTTCATGTCGAGCAGCTCATATGTGTCTTTAGTCTGAACCAAGCTAAGCCCACTCTGCCGTACCGGTCTGATCCTGTTCCTCAGTAGCAGTGGGCTGCGCGTTGTCGTCATCGATGATCGTCACATGGTCGACAATCGGAGCCGCGGCCGGAGCAGGGGCAGGTTCAGCTGCAGGAGTAGGAATAGGAGCAGAGACCCGGGGATTGCCACGAACACGAGCACGAGGAGGGCCGCGAAGGGGAATAGGGCTAGTGGTAGGCGTCGGAGGAGTTGGCGAGACCAACAGGGTACTACAGCTGCGAGTCATGGACTCAAGCGAAAGCCGCTCCGAGTCAGGTGAGTCGCCTGAATAGGTAGACCCAGCAGAGGAAGGCGGAGAAACCGGCAGGGCGATCAGAAGGGCGATTTCATCGATCATAGGAGGCAGCTCCACGTTATGGAGGTTTTCTTCGATGTTTGTGACCACAGCGCGGCTCACGCCCAGCTCCACGTCTGCACTGACTGCCTCTGCCCTCCTTTCCTTCCAGTGGATGACAAGGCTCTGGATCTAGTAGAACGGCTTGATCACAGCTAGAACAGGGCAAAGGACCGGGGACGCGAGAATACCCAACATCAGGATAAACGGAGCCAGTTTCCGCAAGGGTTTGCCTTCCCGGAAAACAGCCGGAAGCCAGTCTTGGTGCTCGGGGCCCATGACTACTGTCATGATGTAGCCGAATATATAGACGGCAACAAAGAAGATGTCGTATATCATCTTCTCGGATTTCTGAAGATTGTTGGTTGAGATATGGGAGTTGAGGTCAAGGTAAGAGATTTAATGCCGCTCAAGAAGGAGATATGTTGGTAGAGACCTGGCCAAAAGGCATCAGGTCAAAGCGGAAAGGAAGGGGGGTTGGGAGATGAATTCCACTGGTCTTGTCGAAGACGCAGGGCTTCTCCGCTCCAGTGCAAGAATCCATAGTCACTACACGGTTTGGATGGCGAATTCTGCAATATAGGGATAGAAGTGGTGGTTGCTTGAGGCTCGACAGAGCTGATAACGTGGCGGTCGCTCTGGAGAGCGAGAGCGCAGAGACGTGGGTGAGGAGTGGAAGAGAGTTTAAGACGCTGGAAGGCCTCAAATACAAACCGAAGATATTTCTGAAGTTGGATTTGAATCTGCAGAAAGTTGAAAGTCAGCGACAAGTCAAAGCCAACTGGGGTGTGGGACTGGTGCTCTGCGTGTTGCAGGACTTGACTTACAGGTCTGGCGAGCGTGCGCGTAGACGAAAGGCTGTGCTCTGACCATATGTGAAGCTCGCGAAATTCGATGTGGGATGTAGGAGAGAAGAAGCAAAATTAAAAATCCAGCGAAGAGATGGGGCTTGGGGTCCTTTATATGGACTTCCTGTGACATGGACGTGGCTGCCGTTTAGGAAAAGTGCCTGAATCGCTCTTTCTTTCTACGTTGTCCATGACTTATCAAGTGGGGCTTTTGTGAGTGAATGCAAATGCGCAGCAACAAGCACAATGGCTCCTTTGGGCAAGAACACAACGCTCAATTGTGCCGCCATTTTCCAATATCGCGAGATTCGTGTGTCACACCCATGACATGTCGATGGGTCGACGACACCACCATGGCGAACCGTGAAGTGAAGGTGAGCGTATAGTGATGAGTTGGCCAACATGAAATGAAAACTAATGAGAGATACCAAAAGCGAAAGAAAAGTGAGGTCGTTCTACAAACCGACAAGGGAAGTCTACAAAACAAAAAGGAATTCTCCGAAGAACCGCTTCCGCGCTGTTGCTGATGCCCGCACCTGGGATCGAACCAAGGACCTCAGCATTACGAGTGCTGCGCTCTACCACTGAGCTATACGGGCGGTTTGGCGCTTGCAGGCGTCTCATATGGGACGGCGGCTCGTTAACTGGGGTGTTGAGAACAGCACCAGTTGCAAACGACAGCCCAAGTGGGACACTCTAGGGAGACTGGACAGACCGCCGTGAGAAGGACAGAGTGCATGGCAATGATGAACTGACGCTCCATACGGGAAACACGGCCGATTCCTGTATCACGATCATGACTCGTTCCTGTGAAAGTTGCTCGACAATGAGGGACAACGACGGACGTCGCAAGCTCTCTAGGCGGCCTGTTCGCCACAGTGATTGACAGCCTTTGTTCTATTCTGTCCGGGCAGGCGGGACTCAGAATGTCGTAAGGCTTAGATGTCTACAGCATACTGGGAGAGCATAACGGGCGCTTCTTTGAATGTGCTGGAACTGTTTCTACTGGCTAGCAGCTGCTCGGAGCATTCGGGCTGTTGTACTGCCTTGTTGGGACGTTGCGTCGGCTTTAATTAGCACCAACACATTCCTCCGATCCCGACGGCTAGACATCGGGAAGCCGCGTGGAATCGACGGAGCCAACATCGAATAACAGATAGACTACCAACATTGTCCGTAGCTTCATCTCAAAGGCCATCTGCTTTCGTCATCTTTCTTCGTCACATCCTCCATAGTAGCATTGACCACCATGGAGACTCTGGCTGTTACCAAAGTCCCAAGGGACGCGCCCACAGGGCCTCCGAGCCATTGGCTGGACAGCACGCCGACGGGATTCCGAAATCCGTGGCCTTCATTCCGCCAGACATTCTCGGTGACGCAGATGCTCCGTCTGCGCTTTGGACCAGGCCGCAACTTTGTGCCTGTGCCCGAGAACCGCGAGGGACTTGTTCCCATACAGACACCCGACTGGGGTGCGCATGCTCAGCCGAGCCAAATAAAGGCCACCTGGATCGGCCACTCGTCGTTTCTGATCGAGATGCCGTTGCGGGTGCAAGATAGGCGAGAGGATGGAACGGAAGCATCCATGCAACGACAGTACGGCCTCCGTGTCTTGATGGACCCCGTCTTCTGCGAACGCATGGGTCCCGCCCAGCTTGTCGGCCCCAGACGCTTCTCACGCACGCCCTGCACGCTCGACGAGCTGCCCCTCGTCGACGCCCTCTGCATCAGCCACAGCCACTACGACCACCTCGACATTGACACCGTCAAGCAGCTGTACGCCGACAAGGCGCAGAAGCGAACGGCCGCTGGCCTGGCACCGCTCCAAATCTTCTGCGGGCTCAACAGCAGGCCGTGGTTTGTCAACAACTGCGGCGTACAGCCCGAACATGTCACCGAGATGGACTGGTGGGACGAGGTGGATCTGATAGTCGGAGGCACGATAGTACGCCTGGCCTGCACACCGAGCCAGCACGGCAGTCGGCGAGGGCTCGGCGACCAGGACCACATGCTCTGGTGCTCCTTTGTTTTGTCGGAGCAGGAGTCCAAGCAGGAGATTAAGCAGGAGATTAAGCAGGAGTCCAAGCAGGAGTCCAAGACGGCCGTGTACTTTGCCGGTGACACGGGCTACCGGAGCGTCACGGACGAAGACGTCGCCGCCAGCACGTCCGTCGACGACCTGCCACACTGTCCCGCCTTTGCCGAGATCGGCGCCAAGTACGGCCCCTTCTCTCTCGCCCTGCTGCCCATTGGCTGCTACACACCACGCACGAAGCTGTCGCCTGTGCACTGCTCGCCCGAGGACGCCGTGGCTGTCCACTTTGATGTTCGGAGCCAGCTCAGCGTGGGCATGCATTACGGCACCGTTCGCGGCGGCCTCAGCGCGCAGTACGAGGATGTACAAGAGCCGCCTCAGCTGTGGCGCAAGGCTGGCGAGGCGCGCGGGTTGGTATGGGACAGAGACTTTCGATTGTGCGATATTGGTGAGACGGTGGTGGTATGACGACAGGAGTGGCTGTCAGACTTACGACTTCATGATTTGCAAAGACATATTAACAGCACTCTTTTACATGTAAATGTACATAATAGTTACATATTTGTTTACGTTCGCTTTAACTTATGCGACAGAAAACTCCTACTCTTCAAGAGTTCAATTTATGTGCAATTCTGTTGTGATAGATACAATGGCTGTTTCTGTACGCCAGATGCCACTCACGCTCCGCGCCACGCTTCCTATCTTCCGTACGAACCAAACCCACGAGCGTGATTTGTCTTTCCTTGACACTGCGTATCATTAGACACGACTCGTAGTGACGCAGCGAGATCCGCGAGCTCGGGCTCAGCCTCCCATTGCACTTCGGGGGCCGTGAAGTTGGCCGGTCCGTATAACATCCACGCCGACAGAGGCATCAGTGCGCTATGGATGGTCGAATTCACCGACGTCAACAGTGCCGTCTGATTCGCCCGCCGCAACGCGTCGGCATAGCCGTCGGGCGCGCCGGGCGAGACCTGCTTGCCCAATGTGCCGGCCAGAACATATGCCTCGAACTTGGCCGTGTTGTTGAAGTCGCGCAGAATAAAGGGCGCCCGCGCGTATGAAATGGGAAGGTCGACAAGGGCCAACGCGCCGTATGTGACATTGTCCAGCCTCGTCACGGCGGACGTCTTCGTCGAAGCACCACTACGGATGGTGCTGTTCAGGGGCACCAGTCGTTGACCGGTCGATGTCCAGTAAAAGAAACCGGTCAGCCAACCCGACACAGTATCGTGCTCTGGTGTGCCCAGGCAGGCCGGGTTGTCGCCCGCGGCCGTCACAATCTGGTTCCAAAAGAGGCGCGTAGCTGTGCTGTCGGGCGCGTCAAAGCTGCGAATGAACTGCCGCAGGATGGGTGTCAGCTGGTCTTTGTAGGCCGCCGCCTGCGAACCGAACGCGGGCAGGCGGTCGAGCTTCCGCAGCATCTCGGCCCAGTCGTCCTGCGCGCCCTCTAGCGTCACCGACGGCAGACCACATGCCGGCCGGCGGCCCTCCTCCGGCTGCCCCGCCGCGGCCGCGTGGGCCTCATTCTGCCCGAGCAAAATAACCGTGGACGTCATCTCGTCGACGACCGTCGAGGTGGTGAAATTGGGCATGGCCCACAGCATCAGCCAAGGCGCGTGGCAGTGGCTCTCCGCCTCGTACTTGAAATCCTGGATGACACGGAACCATTCAAAGTCGCTCAGCGTCATAGGGTCGGCACCAGCCGCCCGAGGCTCATAGATCTCGGCCGTCTCGTTGCGGTGGCTGCCGACATAAAAGAACAGCTGCGTCAGGATCGTGAACCAGACCTCGTCGGGCCGGAGCACGAGATGGAGGTGCTCGGCCCAGGCCTGCAGGGCACCGCGCACAAAACTCTCGGAGGAGGGCAGGACCTGGTTGGCTGTCTGGAACGTGCTGTCGTCGAACACGCCCATGAGGACCTGCTCGTCGCTGCTGGCATGGTCAAACTCGTTGGCGGCGCTGCGCCGGTAAAAGTCGTCCAGTGACGTGGCGCCGGGTGGACCGTTGTACCGACGCGGTGCGCCGCCGGGCAAGATGACGACATCAGCGGTTGCTGTGCTGTCGAAGAACAGACATGCGAGGGCCAGAACCAAGGCTGTCCAAGTGGTCGGCACCAGCGCACGCTGTCGTTCAGCGCGCATCGCGGCAAGAGGGTGGTGAGGTGTTGATTCGGCGGTGATGGCTGATCACAAAGGACGGAGGGGACGACAACGATGGATGAATCGAAGCATTGCGGCACACAAAGATAGGCTCGCAGAGGTTGATCAAGAAACCCTCTTGGCAAAGTATCAAGCTTACCCAACCGGAACATCCATTTACTTGGGTGTTGGCAAGGCATTCTCTTTTTGCTCGTCCTCTGGTATGTCGCCGCAAAGAGCGCTCAAGTTCTCAGTTCTTCGGCCCCCATATCCAATCTAGCGGCTCGAGGCCCCAACTCTGTTCGATGCGGGCTGAAATAGCCGTACAAATTGCGTCGCCTCTGCCTTTAGGCATGACCCAGTTGGGATATGGACAAGGTGTGCGGAGAAATAAAAGGCAAAGGAAAGATAAAGACATAAGAAAGACCAAAAAAAAAAAAAAACGGAGAACGACAACGCGACAGAGGTGAAAAGTCGCAATGGGCTCATGAGACAACGAGTCAACTCCCACATCTACCGCATCACTTGATGGCGCCGACATAGCCCACGCATCGATACCGCAGCGAGGCTCGTGACATCTTGCCCAAACATGCATCACTCCGCTTGGCAGCTGGCGACGCCTGTTCAAGGCTCTACAATTGTCAACTTGTGTGACACATTGGTTCGTTCGTATGTTGTAGATAGCCTGCACATGCAACCGTTTGCCATTACACAACATCCGGATATACGAAACGCCCGAGGTATAACTGGTTCTTTTTGACCGCTTTTGCCGTCTTCCGTGTCTTCGTCGGTTGGCTGCATATTGTGAGAAGAAAAGAAATGGCTCCGTATATCTCAGAACGTGTCTGCGTAAACATCTCGAGTCCTTTCCCCTGCGGTGATCACAGGCAAAAGTGCGGCTATCCGTCAGAGTCACCAGACAACAACGATAATAACGACAACAGAAAAAAAGAAAATTCAGATGGAATAAGGAACATCTGAAAAGGAGCAAAAGAACACCCCAGGACGAAACCGGATGTGTTGGGTTCGTCGCGCTTATGTAAAAGTTCGGCCAACTGAGTGTTGCTTCGTACTTTTGTCACGACGGCTCAGTAGATAGTCTCCTCGCTTTTGTGTCAGGGGTTTTTATGTTTTGTGTCTTTCTGTTGTTTTGCAACTCTCTGCTTTCGTTTCTGGTCGATTTCGATTTGAGACAAAAGAGAGGAACCAAGATCGCGCCTGCCGTGATCTTCGCCAAACATCTGCGTAGCTGCCTATATGCATCGAGTTAAATACAGTGCCCATAATTACTGTGCACACTGTATGTCGCAGCCATTCCTTAGCGCAAACGTGCCTCTTCTCAGCGCCGGATTGGCGGCGGTTTCCGGCGACGGCTTGGACTTGCCGTCCTAAGCGACAAGCACTGACGAAAACCATGACGGAATAATGTCAAAAGTACGATGGCGAACGACTCGTAACATGGCAAAGTCATCTTCCAATAAGGCAGGCTTGAAGGAACACCCAACACAGTGGCTGACAGCTTCCTTTTATTCCCAGCGCTAGCCGCCATGGCAATTTGTATTGTTCGTGTTGGGCAGGAGAGATCAACCTAGGACTCGGCTGGACATGTTGCGCCGCGCCAAAAACAGGTCGCACTTGCCTCTGGCGCTGATGGTGCTTCCTGCCCCTTAGGGCCCATCACCAGTTTCATCTTTCTCGTTCTGTTTTCAGCTTCATCCAATTCTCCTTTCTTTTCTCCCTGCCTCCGTACTGCCATTCGCCTTCTTTCATTCCACGTCTTGCACCAATCCAGTTGCGCACGCATCCACACTGGCAAGACCCCTCATCCTCGCAGACTACCCTCAATTGCTTTAGAAGCTTGCCGATGCGCTCCCCGCCTCCAGACACCAACGCGCTCGCGCCGACGAAGAGCTTTCGTCTCTACAGTCAAAAAGTCGCTTTGGTTCCTTTTATCCGTTGAACTCGAGCAGGCCTCTCGTCTGCCTTCCTCGATCCCGGGCTGTCCGACTTGTCCTCCTGCCACTTGCGAGTCTTCAATGTCGATCCAGTAAATAGAGCTCGAAACACGCGCCTGCGCGACCGAAGTCCCCAGGCGATTCACAATTAGACCAAGCCGAAACCAAAAACAGACCAAAACAAAAGACTGTCATTAGATTGTGGTTCGACAATACTGCAAAAGTAAAGCAAGATTCAACCGTTCGCATCGTGCGTCCCCGAAGCTCTGTGCAGCTCGAAAACAAGAGTCTGATATTGCAGTTCCAAGCCAGTATTGCGACGGCCCAAAACATCAGCACCGAAACAAAGTGACCCAACCCTCACATCCTAAGACGCAATCGCTGTAGCAAAAGTGTGCCCCTCACTCACCTTTCCCCACCCACAGCAACAGCTCCTTGTTTCCTTGCTCGCCTATGGATGACCGAGTAATCGCACCAGGACCCAGGCCTAGAGAAAAGAAAGCCGCCAACGAACCCAACGAAAGCGACCGGGAAAAAGAAGGCAGCGTCTGGGAAAATTAAGAAACAGGACCGCCATCCAATCCATGCCCTCAGCCCCCTCGTCACAGCCATTGCAGTGCATTGCCTGCTGCACATCACGCTAAGTTCTCAGCGCCATTGAGCCACAACCAGCCGCCACCGCATCCTGCCACCATCTCGCCCCCCCTTTCGACCTCCAATAACGAGTTGAACAGCGCGTCGACCACATCACACTAGCTAGCGACCCGGAACGACTAATAAACAGCGCGCACTTCACTTTTGCTTATCCCCATATCCCACTTTAGGACCGCACTTTTGTGTGCGCGTTGTCTCTTCGCGCATCGCACTTCTTTCTCTCCCCTTTTTGCAACGGCCATCGACCACCCGATCACTCACGATGAACGGCGCGACCTCCTCGACCGGCCCACCGGCACACTCGACGCCACAGACGGACCCGGCAACTGCCCCGGCATCGGCCCCGTCCACAAACGGCGGCAGCGCCAACGAAGCCAGCGCGGGCTCGATCAAGAAGCGGAAGAAAGACGCCCTCAAGCCGATCATAACTACAGAAGGGTGAGTTGACATTGTTTTGCTATGGTCTTTGGAGTATCTGTGTGATTTATGTTGCATTTGGTGATTTGTTGCCTTCCATCATCCGATTCCAAGTGAACCTTCGCTGTCTGTTACCCCTTTCAGCCTTTCACCTACACTTTCCCCCATCCCATAAGCGCAAAGCAAAAGCACTCGCACCGAACGACGCAGAGGGCAGTCTGCGGCATAACAGAACTCAGATGTGACACGAGGAAAGGCAAAAACAGACCAAATGAGCACAGACCAGAGCATGTGAGACGAAGACCGAAAAGAAGACAGAACGCGCAAATGCAAAACGGGCCGATCAGAGCGACGGAGTCCTCGAAAAAATGGCAGCATCGACGAATCCAGCGAAAGAAAACAATCGCGATGCCGATAAAAAAGGATGCAAGATGGATCAACCAGACAAAATAAAAAATACCAGAAAAGGAAAAAGAAGGACCAGGGAGTCTGCAAAAAAATAGCTGGAAAAGGCGCATGCACGAATCAGCTTCTTCTGCAAGCAACTCGTCTCCCCTCATTCTTCTGCGTCTGGATGCGTCTGGATGCGTCTTCTGCGTCTTCTGCGCCTCTGCTCTGGACTGGCCCGCTGCCAATGCTGCTCTCCTCTGCTCTCCGCTTCTGTGCGTTTTTGGCTGCCTCGCCTGTTTTGTTTGCTTACGATTTGACCTGCCCACCGCCTAACACTCCACCGTCTTTCTCTTTGTCCCTTTTCCATTCCCGGCCCGTGTCTTGGTCTCTATGTCTTATTCCGCTCTTTTGCGCACGTTCGTTCTGTCAGACACTCGACAGCTCTTCTGCACCTCTCTGCTTCATCTCTTTACCCAACCCGTATTCCTATCCTTTTTCCACATTTACTCGATCTATACTACCTCTTGCCGGGTCCCGTTGGACTTCTTCAACTCTCAACTTTACATCCTCTTCACCTTATTACTGGCCCAACTGCTTTCGCATCTTGCCGTCCTCACCTATCGGCATCGCACATCTGCACTCCCGTCGCCGACCCATACCTGGTTCTAGACCATGATCAGTTCCTTGGTCTCTGTCCCGAACTTGCCTACTCTTCTCACCCCGGCATGAGCGCCCTTCATCTCAGGTCTCGATTTCACTTCACTCCCATGGCTGCGCGTCGCCGTCTCTGATGCGCACTACATTTGGTGCTTCCCTGCCTCATTCATACTCTCCTTTGCTACTCCCTCCCTTTCCGCCTTTCTCCTCTTCTTCATCGTGCACCCTTCTCTTTCTACCCAACGCGCCATTCGCTCCCAACCGCCCCCAATGCTGAAAAGTCTCCTCCCCAGTCTTCGCGACGTGCGAGAGCCACCGCCAAAGTCAAGGTCCGGCCTCTAACCTCCCTTCCCGTTCGCTCCTACTGTGACCCTCCACGTACACTCACGATCTTTTACCAATCTATCCATCTCTCTTCCTTTGGGCGCATACTTTTTTTTCATTCTCATTGTTTAACTGCGCGCTTCATTATTGCTTTTCCTTTGGATTGGCCTCACCCCTGCAGCAACAGCCCCTCCCCCCACTTTTCCTTCCATCGATCAGCTGCGCCGCCTTTGACCACTTCTCGGCCTCACTTTTCGTATCGTGAACCGCAATCGCAGTCCCGCTAACACAATGTGCGCCTGCACCACCTCTCTTTTAGATCCTCACACATCTCTGGCTTAAATCACTCACCAACATCTTCGTCTTCCGTTGACGACGCCGCCGATAACACCGCCGACGAAGAAGACTCCGAAGACTACTGCAAGGGCGGCTACCACCCCGTCCAGGTCGGCGAGAAGTTCAAAGATGGCAAATACACCGTCGTTCGGAAACTGGGCTGGGGCCACTTCTCAACAGTTTGGCTGTCGCGTGACAACGTCACCGGAAAGCATGTCGCCCTGAAGGTCGTCCGCTCAGCGGCTCATTACACCGAAACAGCCGTCGACGAGATCAAGCTCCTCAACAAGATCGTGCAGGCCAACCCCGACCACCCGGGCCGCAAACACGTCATCAGTCTCTTGGACTCCTTTGAGCACAAGGGTCCCAATGGTACACACGTGTGCATGGTGTTTGAAGTCCTGGGCGAGACCCTGCTCGGCCTCATCAAGAAGTGGAATCACCGCGGCATTCCCATGTACTTGGTGAAGCAGATCACGAAGCAGGTGCTGCTGGGTCTGGACTACCTCCACCGCGAGTGTGGCATCATCCACACGGACCTCAAGCCCGAGAACGTTCTTATCGAGATTGGCGATGTCGAGCAGATTGTACAAAAGGTCGTTAAGACCGAATCTTCAGATAAAGAAAGCAACCGCAATGGTCGCCGGAGGAGACGCACTCTCATCACGGGCAGCCAGCCGCTGCCCTCGCCATTAAACGCCAGTTTCGGGCATAACTCGCCTTTTGCCCCGCCAAGCTCACACGGCAGCCTCGGCCAGATGCTTCACGACTGTATGTGTTTCCCTCCCCACCTGCGACGATTCTGCATACCTCAACTAACAATCTTTACAGCCTCCTCCCACACCCACAAGAAGGACTTCTCCTCATCAGAACACGATACGGACCATCATCATAAGGCTGAATCGATCGAAGAGCTCCAGAAGAAGCGGGAAAAGACAGAGTACGTATTTTGATTTCCGGTCCACGTCTTGGCACGGATGCCGGTACCAATACTAACCGTACTGCAGAGACATCCTGGCCAAGGAAGTGTCTGGTGTCAGCCTCGGCAAAACCCCATCACAGTCTTCTTCGAGCAGCCCATCCAGCTCCGGCGACAAACGGAAAGCCGAAGAGTTCAGTATCGATGTCATCAGCGTCAAGATTGCTGATCTTGGCAACGCTTGCTGGGTCAACCACCACTTTACCAACGATATCCAGACCCGCCAATACCGTTCCCCAGAGGTCATCCTGGGTGCCAAATGGGGCGCCAGCACAGATGTCTGGAGCATGGCAGCGATGGTAAGCGTCGCGACCTGCACGTGTAAAATTCGAACCCCACTAACGTCTCCCCCTCCAGGTCTTCGAGCTCATCACGGGCGACTACCTCTTCGATCCGCAGTCCGGCACCAAGTACGGCAAGGACGACGACCACATTGCACAGATCATCGAGCTTCTCGGCCCCTTCCCCAAGTCGCTCTGTCTCTCGGGCAAGTGGTCACAGGAGATTTTTAACAGAAAAGGCGACCTGCGCAACATCCACCGCCTCCGCCACTGGGCCCTGCCCGATGTGCTGCGCGAAAAGTACCACTTTAAGGATGAAGAGGCCCGGCGCATTGCCGACTTCTTGCTCCCGCTCCTCGAACTCGTACCGGACAAGCGCGCCAATGCCGGCGGCATGGCCTCCCACCCGTGGCTTGAAGATACACCCGGCATGCACTCGGTTGCCATTGACGGTATCCCTGTGGGAAGCCGAGGCGAGGGCATAGAGGGGTGGGCTACCGAGGTGCGGAAACGATAGACGTACCTAGAGGAACGAAACCCGGGGAGCGGGCAGTCTGGCAGTGGGATGGAGTACGGAAACTAACCACAAGCAAAGAATACGGAGGAGGAACGGAACAGACATAAACAAGAAGAGCAGTGATTGTGACCAACGTTACCATATTATTGGACTCTTTGGATGTTGTTATCTCCCCCCCTTCTTCATCATTTGTCCTCTACTACACTCACCTGCATATTATACGTGGCTGCTAGCGATATAGTACACTCTTTTGCGCCTCGCACTGGTTTCTGCGCCTTTTTTTTGTGGACTTATATGTTATATAGAGAAGCCTGCTTCACCCGTTGGTGTGTCACTGCTGTCTTGTTTTTATCTTTTATTGTTCCATTGGTGTTGGAGGAAACATTTGGTCTTCACTATCCTATATAGCTGAGGGTTTGTTTTGACGCACACATACAAACAAGCATATTTTATGTCATTGTCACGGCGAGACGCTGTTTTTGTTCTGTACTTGTGCTGACAGCCGTCTTTTCGTAGAGCTTGCACTTCCCAGAACATATTTTATAGACCCGTCCTGGTTTTTGGATGCTGGAGCACCTACCCCTCCCGAGAACTTTGCTCTTCCTCCGAGAACCGAATGCACCTATATTTATTGAAAAGCCAATGGCACTTGTTTTCAAGCGTGATTTTTATACATGGAAGCCGAATCAAAATGCACTCATTACCGCGCTGAAAGGAGGAAGCAGACTGGTGACCCAAATTTATTAATGCCTTGTACCTCACGACCGGAAAACGCCCACTCCACAATAGTAATGAGAAAACAGAACGGAAGAAACAGGTAGCAGAGCGACGCATATGCCATGACAGACTCAATAATGAACACAAGACATGGGAGAACGAATACAGAGCAAGCCACTGTAAAATCCTGACCAAATAGCACCACCATGTAACATCCCCTACCCCCCAATAGCCATCGTTTGCTGCATGGACTTCCCCGCCGCACGAAGCTCTCATCTATTTCTTCTTGTTCCGCATCTTGGCTCGTTGTGCCATCCGCTGGAAAGCTGCTACACTGCTCGCACCAATTGGCCGGTAGTCGGCGCCGCGGTGCCCATCAAATGTGCTCTTAGGCGCAATGGTGTACGACTGTGGAAGGCCCACGGGCGTGGCCCGGTTCGCATTCACGACGGGCGGCGCCAGCTGCATCTCGCGGTCCAGCTCGAAGCGGGACATGGGCCGCTCGGCCAGCGTCTGCGTGTACTGGCTGCCGGGGGCGCCGCCCATGGCGCTCTTTTGCTCGGCCAGGCGGGCCGCGCGGTAGTCGTACTCGCGCGTTTCAATGTGGCGCTTCTTGAAGTCGTCCGTCTTCTTGAGGATGGGGCGGCTCCACTCGCCCACCAGGCGCTCGGCCATGCGCTTGATGGCGGGCTCCGCACGCTTGCTGCGCGTGTAGAACAAGACGACCTTGCCGATGCCGCTGCTGAGGAGGGCGTCCTTTTCAATCGGCAGCTGGGTGAGGCAGGTGAAGATGTCGCGCTGGATGGTGTAGCTGGGCAGGGAGCCGTCGTTGAGCGGTTCCAAGAAGAACTTGAGCGACTGCAAAAAGTTGGTCTCCGGGTCGAGGATGGTCTCCTGAATGTCGTTGCGGTTGAGGACCGACAGCACCTGCGGCAGCAGCTGCAGCTTGTTGACGGCCGGGCGGCCCTCGGCACGGGCATCAATGTCCGCCATGCACGCACGCTCCATGCGGATCTTGAGCTGCGCAATCTCTTCGTCGGCCATCTTCTCGAGATCCTGTCATAACCACCGTGGTTAGCAAAAAACGCACACTCGTTGGTAGGCCCTCCCACATGTTGTCTCGCGCAAGTGTAGCTTACATCCTCATCCTGCTTTCTCCTCCGCTTGTTGGGGTTGCGGATGGCCAGATCAATGGCCCGGTTGAGCGCACGTTTCCGGCGCTCCTCAGGTGTCAGGTCCTCCTCGTTGACCTCGGGCGACGCCGACTTCTTCCGTCGGGGGGCCGACGCAGCGCCGTCATCGGCCCGCGATCTACGCGCCCGATTGGACCCCTCAGCCGCCTCGTCGCTGTCGCCCGCGCCTGGCGCTGCATCACCATCGTCCGCCGCTGGGCGCCGCTTCTTCTCTCGCCGGCCCTCCTTGGGCTTCCGTGGCTTCTCGGTGCCGTCCCGTTTGCGTTTTGTGGCCTTGAGCCCGCGTGCCGCTTCCTCGTCAATCGTCACTGGCCGCTCCTCAATCTCGGCCGTGGCCGGGTCGTAGTCTTCAAAGTCTTCGTCGACATCCGACAGCTGCTCCTCGTCTTCGTCGTCATAGCCGGATGCACCGCCGGCATCCTCGACAGTCTGTGGTGCGTCGTCGTTATCGTCACCGTTGTCTCCAGCCTCCTCGCCACCCGGACCAGCAGGGTCAGACGCCTCAGGCTCGGGAGTCGCCGCGGCCTTCGCAACATCGTCATCGATGCCGGCGTCGGCCTTAGGCGATATGGCCGCAGCCGGAGAGGATGCTTCGTCGGCCATTGTAATGTGACTGAGAGTGGTAGGGTTCGTCCCTGATCGTATTCGTGGGTTTTGTCGTGATGAGAAATGGGTATAGGTATACAATAAAGTCGAAACGCAGGAGGAATAGTGCCCAGCGTTCTTGTCAAGGCACAAACAGGGATGACGGCAAACGGACGAGATTCGAAGGCGCCGGAAGCAGTGAGTGGACAAAGGACAATTTGAACATCACCTTTTGCTCTCCTTTCGTCAAAATCGCGTTACTTCCGCGCGGGCAGTTCAGGCTCTAAACTTAAAAAATAGATGCACGTGACTTATCATGTGGCATCCTTCAAAAGGCAAATTCTTAGTGCCTGAGGCAATGGTGCAGTTGCATGCCAGACTCGCCAAACTAGTCCCTAGTCAGACCTGTTTTACCTTTGTTTACAGGCGGAGAGCTCCAAGCCCGTTGCCACCGACGACAGGCGGCTGCAACGTACCGTGCCACCAAAAAGTTCTGGCGACAAGACTGCGGTCCCACGCTGCCACGGCAAACAATTGTTCACAGCACGGCCGACCGTGCATGAGGGATGGCAAACAAACACATCCTGCTTAATATCCACGTCTCACACGCCGCCCACATTTCCTTCCTTGTTCCCAAGACCAAAAACAAAACAACAATTGCCTGAGGACACAACGAAGCCAATTCCAACATCACGACGATATATCACCACAATCGCCATCACGATGAGTCGGAGGACATACGAAGGCCACATGGACTGGGAATACCAGGACAACAGTGGGCCTGTGGACGTGTCCAGCCCGTTCTCGCAGATCCCGCAAAGGCCCTTTATGGGTACGTCTCGTGAAGCAGCGTTTGCGTGTTCGAATGCCCTTCCGCGTCACGACTTGCTAACGTTTTGTGTCAGGTCCCTCCTTTGGTTCCTCAGATTCGCCTTCCAAGCTGACGAGGTCGGCCAATCCCTTTGCTTCCATTGGCGCGAACGCGGCATCGTCGTCGTTCCATGCCAACCCCCCCTCGCCGTCAAAGCAGCAGTTCCCCCGGCCACCAAGCTCCTCCATCTTCAACGCCCCTTCGACCAAATCCTATCCGGCCGCGTCGCCCTTCCGCAACCCGGCATTTACAACGCCACAGAAGCCTAGGGAAGACATCTTCTCTGAAGCGTCCGGGGCCGAGGAGAGCCCCGCGGTACAGAGTGATGCGTCCATGGCGGCCGAGGACACACCCGAATACGGACGGTTCGACAGCGAGCTCGGCCAAGCGACCATCACGCCAACCTCGGCTGTGAACCGCAAACTGTTCCACGACGAGAACGACTCCCCCGCTTCCACACAGAGCCAACAACGGCAAGCGTCGCCGTCACGGCCGACGTCAAGTCATGCGTCTGGGCGTGGCACGGTGCCACGGGGGAAGCTCGACTACCTCTTCGGGCGGCGCGACCGGGTACGCAAGCGTAAGCGGCAGCTGGGCGACAAGGACGTGGGTAGCGTACGCTCGCGGCACAACAGCAACAGTAACAACAACAGCTACACCTCTGACGAATCGGACGACTCGGACGCTAGTGAATGGACCGACGGTGGCCGGTCTCAGCGAAGGCGCGGTGGTGGTGACGGCAAGAAGGGCCGCCGCGGGAGAGAGGGCAGTGGCCCGAGCGCGGACGGAACGACGGTGAAGCGGGGTGCTATCGGCAGCCTGTTCTCGGCGATCCACGATCACCCGAACGTGCCGCTCATCCTGTCGTGGTGGTTGCAGCTGGGCATGAATGTGTTCTTCATGGCCGTCGTCATGTGGTTCGTGTGGGGCGGCATCTCCATGATGCGGGCCGACATTTCGCATGCGGCGGATGCGGCCCGGTCGCGGCTGTTGGCACAGATGAACGACTGCGCGCACGAGTACACCAAGAACCGCTGTGCGCCCCTCAGCGAGCGACTGCCGGCGCTCAACGTGATGTGCAACGAGTGGGAGGTGTGCATGAACCAGGACCCGTCGAGCGTGATGAAGCTGCAGGTGTCGGCCAAGAACGTGGCCGAGATTATCAACGAGTTTGTTGGTGTCATGAGCTTCAAGGCTTGGGTAAGTTTAACTCGGATCTCCGTCCTCGGCGCCATTTATTTTTTTCCCTTTTTCTTTTCTCTTCTTTTACACGTGATTTACTAATAATATACAGGGCTTCATCCTGTCAGCCATGCTGGCTGTGATTCTGGCCAGCAACATGGGCTTCAGCCGCTTCCGCGACGCCGCGTTCGTCGACAACGCCAAGCCCAACCTGCCCTCGCCGCACGCGTACGCGTCGCAGCCCGTGGGCGGGCCCCCAGGACCGTCGTCGCTTCCGTCGTCCCAGGACCCCAACCAGGCATATATCTGGGCACCAATCGGGCAGACGCCGCGCCACATCCGGCGCGAGTTTATGCTGCAGCCTGACACACCCACGGACACGGATGGCTCGCCAGATGTTACCCGCGCGGCCATCATGCCGCCGCCTCAGACACCGTCGTTCCGGCGAAGCCCCAGCAAGGGCGAGCGCGAGCGCAGCCCTGCCAAGGCCAAGGCCAATCGTAGCCCAAACAAGGTCTATTAGATCTGTTTGGGCTTGTATACACGTCGTGTTCGAATAGGGGAGGTATATCTTGTATAATAGCAACAGGAAAGAATCTTGGGAGAGACGGCTTCTGGAAATGGGTCCGAAGGAAACTTGAGCATAGATTTTGCAGGCGTCTGTTTACTAGCGTATGTTTATTATCTGGAATGAAAACGACGATTGGCTTCCTTCAAATCCTTGGGTGGTGATGGTTCTGTCGGAGACATGAATCTTTACCTTTATTTACACTTCGTGTGGACTGGTTTTTATTTTGCCCTCTTTCACATGGTATTTTCTTCCACTTCCTCCCTTAGAGGCCTGATGGCGCATATCTTTGTATCTTACACAACGTGGCAGTTGACAATGGCCGAGATCCGCCTCGATCTGGGCCGAAAAGAGTCTTGTTCCCTTGGAGTTTTCGGACAGAATGCCGTCTGGCCGTGCTGTCATTTTTTTCTGGTCCGCTCTAAGACGGTCGAGGCCTGGCAAGTTCTGCAACAAACTGAATTAGTGCAGTCTGAAATAGCCACAGTCCGGTGCCTCAGTCGCATTGAGCACTGCGAATACTGAGTCGTACCGTTCCATTCTAGTTGTGGTTTGAGGCGTGAGTCCTTCCTATTCATGACTGTGTCTTAGCTCTTTCCAGTGCGTTCAGAAGCACGCTATTTCGTCTTCAGCGCTGTCGTGCCTAGCTAGATTATAGTGGGTAAATTGCAACAATAAGAGGAGACAGCGCATGTCACCCACGCGACCAATTAGGCGGGGGCCACAGTAACTAGCCACTAATCTATCTTTTCTGCTTTGTCCGGCCCATTCTCCGTGGCAATATACGGAGGACACGCCCCGACAAAGTCAAGTGGCGCCTCTCATGGCAGAAAGGAACAGGCCGTTTTCGCCGTCGAAATACGCAAGACCTCTTTTCAACGGCTTTGATATTTCTAATGCCCGAGACACAACCCACAACCGACTGCCCCCTCCTGCCGCCCAGGAACAGGCCTCGCCAAGCCCATAAAAACAATATATGCGTATAAACCGCCATTGGATCCCGACCGCAAAAGCTAGCAACAAATCCCATCACACGAATCGATCACGAACGCAACTCGGCCTCATCGCTCGCGAAGACCACATCCCACACGGATCGCATCGCACAGCAATACACCTGTCCCTGGCGCATAAGCATGGTCCTTACGTAACACACAAAGACGAAAGCATGATCTCTTCGTCGTTTGCATCTCGAGGCGTCCTTCTCCAATTTCCTTGTGTGGCTGCAATCTCTCGGTAAATCGTCACGATTGACAGCTTTGCCAACAGCGTGCGACATTCCAGCGCCACCCGACACGACCAGCCCACGCCTCTTCTCTTTGCTGCGCGACCTGCCCACGGCTGCATTGGCTGCATTGGCTGCATTGGCGACCGACGGCAAGCATGGACAACAAGGAAGAGGACCTGTCCAGTTCAGCAGGCATCCCAACGCCGAACTCGGCCGGCGGCCAAGGCAACGCCGCACGCGGCAAGCAGCGCGTCGCGCCCGACTCGGAACCGGCTGCCAGCACGTCCTATACGGCCACACCGCTGTCACAGGCACAGATATCCAAGCGGCGGCGCGGTATCGGCGTGGTCACGCCCAATGCCTGCAACGAGTGTCGCAAGAAGCGCGTCAAGGTGAGGGACAACCATGCCAGACTGTATTTACCAGCATGACGACACGACGACACGACGACACGACTGACAAATGACAAACGGTTCACAGTGTGATGGACGACGACCATGCGGCCGCTGCCGCGTCCAGAGAGACGTTGAGTGCGTGTACGAGCTGCCCGTCCGCCAGTCGAAAGAGGACCTCCGGAGCGAGATCGAGGTCCTGCGCCGGCGCCAACGGTCCAGCGACGCCGTCATCTCCGCGCTCAACCGCCCGGGCATATGGGAGGATATATTGAGCCGGTTGCACAGCGGCGAGACGGTAGAGAGCCTCTCCGAGTATCTTGATACGGGCCCGCCAACGACAGCCGCTTCTACTGCTACAACAAATCCAAATCCAAATCCTAATCCTAATGCAGCGGCACTACAAGCAACCAGCACGACGTCGACGAACACGCCGTCGCAATTCCAACGCTCGCTGCCGAGTGCTGCGTTCCTGGGCGGTGAGGCCCCGACATACGTGCCCTTCTCGCCAGGAATGACGCAGGGTGGACAGTCGAGCGGCGGCTCTGGCGGTCCTGGCTCGAGCCAGAGCATCAGTGAACAACAGCTGCCTCATCCGTATCAGCAGCACCAGCGACGTTCCCACCACCAGCAACAACAGCAACAACAACACCTTCAACCCCCGCAGCATCAACAGCACCAGCAGTTTCAACAACATCACCAGCAGCAGTCGCTCCACCAGCACCAACAGCATCAGCCGAATCAGTCGCACCTCCAGCAACATCACTTTGAGCAGCTGAATCAGCAGCATGGCAGCCCTTGGGGCGGCGACCCCTACTCGGCCACGAGCCAGGCACCATCCACCCAGAGCGACTCGCGCCAGGATTGGAACATGCCGCCCGAGTCCCGCGTCGGGTTATGGGTCGAGGGCGTCGGGCCAGATGACCAGTCCGGCTCTGGCGGCGGCGGTGGCGGCGGCAGCGGAGGCATGGGTGACATGAGTTCCGGCGGGATCCCACGGTACCGCGGCGTCGACCAAATCCTCGCACCCGACATGCCCGACCTCAAGTTGCCGACCACCACGTGGACCGACATCTCGGAAGATCTCAACCTCGTCCAGCACCTCTTGGCGCTCTACTTTTGCTGGGAGTATCCGACCTTTGCCTCCCTCAGCAAGGAGCACTTTCTCTCCGATTTCCAAGTCGGCCGCCCCCGCTACTGCTCGCCCATCCTCGTCAACGCCTTGCTGGCTCTGGGCTGCCGCTTCTCCACGCAGCCCAACACACGCGCCGTGCCCGACGACCCGTACACGTCCGGCGACCACTTCTTCAAGGAGTGCCAGCGCTTGTTCTACCTCGAGGAGAACCACCACAGTCTGACCACCATCCAGGCGCTGGGCATCATGTCGATTCGAGAGGCAAGCTGTGGTCGCGACTCGGAGAGCTGGTACTATGCCGGCCAGAGCATCCGCTTGGCCATTGAAATGGGCCTGCACCAGATCCGCAACGACGACGGCGACGAAGACGAGGTGGCCGTCAAGGCCGCCACGTTTTGGGGCGCCTTTGCCCTTGACCAGTAAGTTGCTGTCGACCCTTCCAAGGACAGTTTCGTTCCTCTTTTCCTTTTCTTCTCACATCTTTTCGCCAGTGCTTGGTCCCTTGCCACAGGATCCCTTCCCCAATGCTCCTGCTTCCCGCTTCTACCGCCAAAGCCTGCCATCATTGACGGCATCGAGGCTTCGCACTGGATCCCCTACACGGACGATGGCGCACCCTTGCAGCGCTCCTGCCAGCAACCGTCAAACGTGCGCTCGGTATACAAGTGCTTTTGCGAGCTCAGCGAGCTTGTGCACCAGTCCCTCTACATTCTCCATTCTCCTGGCCGCCCTCTCACCAGCCGCGACCTTCTCCACATCTATACAAAGTACCTCAACTGGTACGACTCCATACCAGAAGTCTTGCGCCTCGGACACAACTTCACCCCGGCTGTCCTGTTCGCCCAGTAAGTGCATTGGTGCCCTAATGCCTCTTTGTCCTACATGTACTAACCACATTTGCTTTCCAGTATGTACTACCATTTCGCGATACTGCTGCTCTTCCGGCCCTTGATCAAGCTCCGTATCATTGGATCCAGAATCCTGCCTAAAGATGTCTGTCTACAAGCCGCTGATGCCATCCAGGGCCTGCTCCGCTCCTATTCCCAGCTCTACACCTTGCAACGAACGCCGTCCTTTGTACCTTACTTTGTCCTTACCTCGTCCATCATGCACCTTGCCATTGGCGCCTCCACATCGGCCGAACTGCCGCCGGGCGGCGACATTGCCGCTGCCATGGCCAACAAAGCGCCCACCTCTCTTGCGCGTCGTCCCAAGGATAGCGACGATCAGAGCATGCACAGCGTAAGCGGGGATGGAGGCAGCAGTAACAGCAGCACCGGGGGCGGCAACGGTGGCGGCGGCGGCGGCGGTGGTAGTGGTGGTGGTGGTGGTGGCAGTGGGGTGGGAGGTGGTAAAGGAGCACGCCACGGCGGCGAGGACTCGAACAGCGGAGCAAGCAACAACAGCAGCCCCAGTCCGGGCCGTGGTACCACCAAGCTCGACTCCCGCGTGGTCGAGTCCATCAACCGTGGCATCGCCGACCTGACCGCGATGGTGCCCTGCCACCACTTTGCCGAACAGGCCCTCAACATCCTGCGCTACCTGGCAAAAAAAGTGGAACATTGACATCCACATTACCCCCGTCACCAAGTCGTCCAGCGGCAGGCTCATCGAGGACGCCGACAGCGACCGCCTGCTGCGCCCCATGACCACAAGGCTCAACTTTTTCACGCCCAACATTGAAGACAGCGACTTCAACTGCACCTGGGGCGTGCTCGATGCTGGCGTCTCCAAGGGCTTCTTCACCGGCGGCAGTGCCGCGTCGGCGTCGCTAGCCAAGGCCGCCGACAATCTTGACAATCCGCTCTTCTGGCCGTTCCCTATGCAGGGCCGCCCGGTTCTGCCTCTGGGAAAGAAGCTTGAAGAGGCCGGGTTTGCTCTCTTGTAAACCTGGAGACGTTCACGGCGGGCGATTAAGCATATACGAATGGTAACTTGATGACACATAAAAAATTAGCAAATCTAGAGACAAATATCAAAAACATGAAAAGTATGTATTAACAAGGGCTGGCCGACCATACTTGGTGTACTTTGTGTGGCATCCTTCTTCGGCATCATTCACGCTGCGTATAAATTAAAACAGTGTGCGATGTGCAAGAAATCATGACATCGAGGGGGGAAAGTAAACGACAACATGAAACCCGATACAAAAAAAAAATGTTGTTCCTAGTGGGGTTCGAACCCACGACCTGTGCATTACTGTCATAGGAACAAAGGTACTTGCGCCGCCTCTGAGTCTATCTGATTCGGGTGTTAGAACAGGCTTTGCCAGGCTTTCCCAATAGGCAATTTTCGGTTCGACTTACAAGAGCACCATGCTAACCACTGCACCATAGGAACGGAAAATTTTGATAGTTTATCCGACTCCCGGCTTATTCCCATTTATACAGGATACAGCGTGGGACAATCTCTAATAGCGCGCAACTCATCGACCAGCAATCACTTCCCCTGAAGAATAAAAGCAACAAACGAAAATAAAATGTGCTGTACAGCTGATCTCTCTACAACTTTACAAATTGTCGTCATTCTAGTTCTGATAAATTCACGGAGCTACTTGATGTGCAACTGAAAAAGAAATAAAGATTTATGAAATAGCATTTGATATGACAGCGAATGTTTTCCTACTGTTACGTCGCAAAATTTGACTGGTCTAATGAAAGAAGCTTTCTTCGAAAGAAGACATAATAGAAGATGTGTTACTATACGACCTGCAATTGTTTCTTTTTGGAGAGTCAATATCATAGAATCATAGCCGACAACTCGTAAAGCAACCCTTTTGGCTTGGGGGGCTACTAGTTCTGCAAGAGATTCTTTCGACTTCGTCCTCAAATATCCTTAATTCGTGTTTAAGCACGACGTTGTGGCACACCACATTGGTTTGATTTCAATTCTTGAATTCCCCCCCCCCCCAAAAAAACACTTCCTGTATAGACACACAAAGAATTCTTCGAGTTTCAGCCTTCCCCCAAAATCTGGACATGGCCGTGTTATTGTTTCGTCGTTTTCAGCTCGTCCAACGTCTCACATAATCGATGACACGCACACACTGGAATTTACACACACTCACAAAGGTTGTCGAGCCACAATACAACATCAAGTCAGCTGGCCTCGTCGCACACATTGCCACTCTCGGGGAAAGTAAGTAGTGTGTATCTTTACGAGGTGTAGCAAAACAGCAACTTTACCGGCGGCTCGGATACGATGTTCCCAATGTCTGGGGACGATGGTTTCCCGTCGGGGCAAAAGGCGGGTGGCTGTGGAGTCAATCTCAGCTGAAAATGATAAGCTTGACAGGAAGATGAGAGGTGATATGCAATGACAAGTACACGAAGGGGGGCGACTTAGGAACTTTAGGAACAAGCGTTGGATTCGAGGCTGGCAAGCCTTGTGGCCTTACTGTGGTATCCGGCCCGTCGGGCGCGAGGAGGATTGGGCGCGTCACAAAAGATCTTTTGTGGAGGGGGCGTGCCACGACGTCGAGCTGGTGACAAAAACAAGGAGACGGACACCGCGTAAGATAAATGTGAATAAAGAAAAAAGTCTCAAGTAGTGGCGGTTGGGTACGCGGTTAGAGCAGAAGAGAATGATGGGAAAGTAAGATGGGGAAAGTAGACGGAAGAAGGAAAAGTACGCATGTACATTCGTATGCAGGCGGTATTGGTCATGTAGCATACACCACCCCCTGGTAAAGCTACGGGGCATCATTGGACGAGCCGAGATAAGCCAGAGCAGAGTCCGACGGCTGTGTTTTAGTTTGTGGCTCCGGGGAACGGGAACATGGTCACAACGTCGTCTCTTGAGTTGTGCTCCGTGCCCATCCGTTTTCCGTTTTGTGTGCTTATTCTTTTCTTTCATTTTGTTTTCTTTTTTTTTGTTTTCTTTTTTTTTGTTTTCTTTTTTTTTCTTTCTTTCTTTTTTTCTTTTTTTCCTTTTTCCTTTTTTTCACCGGCAGGCATCAGCGACCAAGACTATTTTCGTCGACCTGCATAAGGTTACACGTGGATATGGGATTCTTCGCGGAATAACCATCCTGGTTCTGCGCTACAGAAACGGCATTCTTTGCGTTTAGTGTATGTTAACCTTTGGTTGACTCTGCTTCCCGGCAGGGGTCAATTTCAATGAGATAGTCTCATTGGTAAGGCCGATGCGATCCACGACTACCTGACAGTAAAAGAATAATTCTCATTCTCCGCAGTGTGTGTCACTATTGTTGTCTCCTGTCAAAGTTGCCGCCAGAGATACGGTCCTTGTGCGGCTATTTCGTTTCTTTTCCTCATTTGTTCCTTTATCTTAACCTTTCTGTTCTTCTTCGGCACACAGGTCAAAGCGTAACATGTACATCCATGCTCCACTCCCAGCTCAGTTGGTTTACTCCGCACCACCCAAACACCCTGATTATGGTCCATGAAGGTCCAGAATGGTCGTCTGCAGTTGAGACACTTAAACAGGTTGCAATCGGCGTTTTGCGTGTACGTACCTGTCACTGTCACTTTCTGGGTCACTGTCCTTGTGGATCAACGGTCAGAAGATCAACGATCTTTGCACAGTTTTAATTCTCGTAGAGTATGTTGTACATCGTACGGATATGTCCTAAGTCGTAGACGTTCTGGGGTATTGTTCGAAAAGAGAAACTGTTGCGTCGGACTGCAATTAATGGTCGATCAAAGCTGGGCATCCCGCGGCTCCGCATGGTACGAATAAACCAGTACCTGCAAACTCCAGAAATGACATTTCTCACAGGTAGAACTTGGTCCCTGATGAATTATCGCCTCTACAGCATACCGTTTTCTCTTTTCTTTGTTTCACTTCTCTAACTACTACGGCATGTCGTTTGTTGTATAATCACACGTTGTTGAAGAATCGTTTGCTACTACTAGTTGAACATTGTCCTCCATAGTTCCAGAGATATACAAAAAGTCCCTGGACTCTGGCAAAAGCCACATGCAGAAAATAAAACCCGACAAAAGCGGCCACTTGCATTGCACTGCCCACGCGAATGCAACGATGGCGAGTGTATCTTTGTGTGTTTTGTGTCTGGGCAGAGCTCTCTTTTCGGCTGGACCTCCTTTTTCTTCTTAATTTTTCACTCGATTTCCATATCACTGTTGTTTGTATCGATCGTCATTGTTTCTCGGGATTTGCTATTTAAGTTCACCGGGCCTGTCATTGTGACCGATTGGGACCTCTGCATGCTCTATTACGACATCCGGAGTACTTACGACATACACAGACAACTTTCAGCTGTTCTTACCCCCCCTCTCCCAGCAGCGCACATGCAATTAACTACCCTCCCCTGTCTGTCACATTATTTCTTCGCCCCCTGCCCTGGATAGTTACTGTACAATCCCTCGCTCTCCCTCTTCATCCAACCCCTTCACGCCATAAACAATGGCTCGAAGGTGATGGCCCATGTCGGTCTCCTTTCATTGCATGACTTGACCTCTAGATTCTCTCAGTCCCAAATGCAGGATGGAAGGAAACAGAGGAAGCCGCCAGCTTCGCCGTGCAGGTAGTTCTAGTTGCATATGCCGCTTTACAAAAATAAACAAATGGGAAATCCTCTGTACCTGCGTGCTATTTGAATACTTTTTTTGGCGTGCGTCCTTGGTCCAACGATATAGCTTATCGTGACGCCCTACGGAATAATATGACAAAACATAAGAATATCAAAAAAAGAAGAAGCGGCGATTGCTATGCAGAACGCTGAGCCAAGAACTCGTAAATGCATTTGCTGCCATACGAGGTCGCCTGGGGTGCAGATATGCAAGGGTATTTGGACGCTGGACAAGTAAAAGATTGTGGCTGTGAGAGGAAGGCGTCTTATTGCAGGTCATATCGCTACAGTGTTTGCTGATCACCAGCTTTTGGAATTGTCTTGGTAATAAGCTGATTCGGGGGACTCAAAAACAATTTAATTGTCCATTTGACGGGCGGAAATGTGCTGGGGGGGTACAGTTATTCTTACATTTACTGTGCGAGATGCTTGTCCCTTGAAGCTCTGTTGTTGGCATATTGTGTCGTGTAAGTTGAAATTTCGGTGTGTTTTTCTTTTGTTTGCACTCAGGGCTACTTAGAATTGTCGAACACTGCTGAGGGCGTGGTTCTATCAGAGATCTTCAATTTGCGGGGGTAGTGGCCAGACAGAACGTAAAAAACGTGGTCGGCGGCCAGGGGAACTGTGCCTGCCCGATAAAGGTTGCTTGGAGTGAAAAAAAGTTTATTAAATCCTAAAGATGCACGTACATGTCCAACTTGTAAAGTCGTATGCTGGTTGGAACACTCTCAAACAAACAAAAAAAATTAAGAAAGAGAAAATACACCAAAAGACACGAAAAAAAACCCGGAAAACAAAAAATAAAGAATTCACCAGACCCGGAGCATTACCTCGTGCTGCTACAAAGCAGGCACGCCACACAAACCTGTAAATCGTTCTTGGGCAAATAAAAAAAAAAGCAAGTCGGCAGTAATGGAAAAAGCAGGGTATCCGACAGTATGTTAGCAACAAAACAATAATTAAAAAAGATATTAGGCGGTACCGAACATTAACTTGTTTCAAGAAGAGGGGGAACAAAAACGCGCGACGATCCCAAAGAGCCCAAATGTGGTGAGACTTGGTATTAACAACCCTGATAAAAGATCTCCTTGGCTTCGTATGGAGTGGTCATGAGGTCCTCGACGGAGGGCAGCCAGAAGCGTGGGCTCTTCCAGGCGGGAGATGCCGAGGCCTGGCTATCTTGGACGTCAATGTCCTCGTAGAACGCGGTGGCATCGGACGTCAGCGAATGCCCAAAGTAGACATAGTCCATACCCTGGCGGGAATTGCTAAAGGTGTAGATGACACTGTTGAGGCTGCTCTGAAGCTCGACCTGAAGGGAGCGGTCCTACATT